GCACATTCTCAGGTTTTCACTCAAGTCTCCAGCAGGGTAATACTGTTAATGCACATGAGAATATTCAGCCAGCTGCAACTGCATAAGGTGAAAATAAGATAAGATAAAACTATAAACAGGTATGTAGTAAAGGTGGGAAAACTGATTTTTTTTTCCTCTTTATTTGTATAATTTCTAAAACAAGTTGCACAATAAATCTTTTGAAAGACAGAAATCAGTTTCATATCTCTCTTATGCATGTTAGAATGAATGTAGGGCTTGTTTTGTTTTCTGAAAGTATTTGAATAAGTTCTAATTTATTTTTACAAGTAAAAAGTGGTTGTATTTCTTCCTGGTTGAACAAATGTTTTTCTCTTTCTTCATCTTTTTCATTTTAGGGCAGAAATCTCCAGAACTACAGAACAAGCTTAGTTGTTCTTTATCTCTAATTTTATAGAAGACTCTTAGATGACTCCGGAGACTCATAAATGTCTCTTTTTCCCAACAAAGAACAATATTTAGTTCTAAAAAAAAGAGCATAAGTTCTAGTTTTGCCTTATCTAGGGATGTCCAGAGGGGTGGTCCATGATTGGTTAGGGGTAGCCATGGCCACCCCTGGCCCCTTTAAAGCTCTGCCTTTCATCTGAGATGTAAAAACAAGCCCCCCGTTTGGAGTTCCCTCTTTGATCCATTTTTTTTTTTTCACGATCATGTTTTTGTTTTAATTAGCAAGACTAAATGTTCTCAAAAAGGTCTGCTTTGGTTGCCTCATGGTGTGAAGCACCATCTGATTGGATGGTCTCCTCCCGGAGACGAAGGTCATGCTGCATGAGCCTCAGAATATTCCTGTCATGAGTGGGACATTAATCATTCATCTAAAACAGATTCATGGTCAGCGTGATGATATATTTCGGCATATGCGGGCACTGGAATATTGATTTAGCTTTGGCTTTAAGCTACTCATCAGACAATGTCAGTCAGGTGGTATGAGCTATTGGCAACCAGCCGGCCTGTTAAAGGGAGCATCCAGCAGGCAAAGCAGATATCTCCTTACTTTGCTTCTTTGGTTTATCTGTGTGTCTGATTGGCCACAAAGCTTAAGGCTTTTTACTACTTTTGCTAAGTTTCCAAAGGAATCATCAGTTTTTAGGTCTAAAAATGATGTCTTACTTTTAAATTGGTAGTGTCTTCATTGTGGAGTCAGGGCCATTTGCAGCCCCTAGACTGACTTTTAGCAGCTGACTGCCAATTAAGAAAGATTCAAATCTTACCCATCAGTACGGGAGGTTCATGCAGATGGGATATTTTTTTTTTTTGAAGTGAGTGAAAATTACTGAAAATGTGTAACTTTTTTTTTTTAACAATGACTATTAGGCATGGCATATTTACCTTTTAATAATAAATCTCCCTACAGTATTGTTAATTTTATATATCCTGTGACTTTTACTTAAAAGCAGAACTTGGTGCATCAATATGTGCTTTTTATGGTTAAACACAGCTTTTTTAAAGAAACCAACAAAATCTATTTTTTTACCACAGAGAATATATTTTTTCATAAATTAGTTGCATCTGTTGCTCAGCTGTGATTTTGACCTGGTTTTTTTGCATAAATATTCAAATCTTAAATGTTCTCTTCTACACCCTCAGATTTCACAGATAAAATCTGTGAATTTGGATTCCAGATGGATTTGTCTGGGCGGCTTTATGTAGCTTTGGTTTCTTCCTGTTAAGTTCTCTGAGAGTTTCCTCCACAGGGTAAAGGATCATTGGGCCTCATGCAAGAACATTTGGTTTTCTTGTCGTAAATTTCTCTTCCTTTTTCTACCGTGGGCTTTTTAGGAGCGCCCCACATCAGATTCAACAAACATTCTTAACGTAAATGATCCTTGTAAACTTGATGCAGTCCACCTATGTGAAAATGTGTTCATGAGAATGGAAAATTTGCATACAGTAGACAACCCACAGAATATTTAATATAAAGAAAGACTTCCAGCGCTTGTCAGAAGGTGTTTATTCAAAAAAATGGCTTTGAAGAAGAAGAAAACTTTGAAGGTTTGGTGACCGAGGTTCTGCTGACTGTGAGGCGAGCAGCAGAATTAAAGGACCATAAAGAGCCAAGAAGTAAAATAAATTACAAGAGCTGTAAATGACCTGGTTGCACAGTTACAGAAGTAAAAATAAAGTAAAAACAAATGAAATACATATAAATGATAGTAAAATAAAAATTATTTGATTCAAAAACAGTCAATGAAAACTAGTGATGTTAGCAGGAGGTGTAAAATATGATGTAAATGCTTAATATGAGATCAACATCAACCACCACAGAAAATTCTGCTGAATCTGCATTAAATACACAGGCACACATGAACTGTACATCTTCAGACAATGTCTGTCATCCCATCAGCTCACACTCCTTCTCTTATACAACACATCAACATAAAAATTTTACAGGTGAAACTCTCACTTGAGGAGCTCAGACAGACCCAAACATTCCACATTTGGTGTAATAACAAAGCCAAGGAGCTGCAAAGGCGTAAAATTATATAATGTCTTAGCATTAGAGGAGCTTTGCTGAACTTTCAATCCAGTTTCTCTTCCAGATGCCATTTCAATAGCAGCTTGATCTCTGACTGTTCTTTCCTTTGACAAAATAAAATCAAATTAAACCAGAGTGGATACCAACATTCTAGCTGCAGGTTTAGTGACCGATAGTTCTGCCATCAGCCAATAAAAATTTAATTTAAAACTCCAGAGAAGCATAATAGATAATAATGTAGCCTAATAAAATTGTAAGTTCAGCTCAGATTCCACAAGACTCAAGTTTGTAGGACATATGTGTTCACACCTTAGAGAAGATTAGAAAAAAGGAGACAAATGGTGAGTGCAGCATTTCTCCAGAATCACTCGTACAATCGATTTAAGAATGAAGTTGTTCATACAAACAGTTCTCGCATGAGGCCCGTTGTCTTGCTAAAAAATTCAAACTTCTCACATAATCCTTTTTTAAATTTTTTATATACAGCCATTCTGGGACACATTGTGATATGGCTCACCCCATCAACCAAAGTTGTGTCTGTTTTGGAGCAATTGGTCATAGTTCTTCTCCAAACATCATTAGTGCAATGATGTGTACACTGCAAAAAATTGAAATCTAGATAAGTCATTTTTTTCTTAAAATAACTGCATTTGTACTTAAATTGAGGACATCAAAGAGACATTTTGCCAATAGAACAACACAATTTACATTTAAAATAAGAAAACTCAACTGCATTGTTTTATTTCAAGTGAATATTATCTAGTCATCTTATTTTATGAGTAAAAATACTAATTCCATTGGCAAATAATCTTGTTTACCTGCTCAAATTAAGGATAAATACAGTAAATTTAACTTATTTCTAGATTTTTTTTTTCCATTGTAAAGCAGTAGGTTTAGCTCTCTCCAGCCCAGACCTCTGGATGTTATTGTCATGATGCTTTTAAGGGATCTGACCCACATGCAGAAAACCACTCAGAGAACCAAGGGAAGGTTTAACGGGTCTATTGATGAGGACAACAGGAGGTGGAATCTTGAACTCAGAGAGAGCTGTTGAACCGGAACTAGAAGTGGAAGGGAAGTTCACAGCGGTTGGTTCAATGGCCGTAGGAAACAGAATAGAGTTCTTGAGCATGGAGGAGGAAGGGACTCACGTAGGAGGGGATCTCAATCAAAGCATTGAATCCAGAATGTGTGAGCTTTCCAGAGGGAGAGCAACTCATTGGAGGGCGGACAGGTCGGTGGAGTTGGACCCTGAGGAGTATGAGAGCGGACTGACACTTAGATTTAAGACGGTACTTGAACGGATCGTGTGGAACTTTTCCCCAGCTCAGTGTGAACACAAAATATCCTTCCTGGGGGAGAAGGCCAAAACTTCCAGTCAGCGGGAAGGCTTCCTGCCAAAAGGCAAAGACAAAAACATGGTTAATCTCAGAGAAACGAAGCACAGGTTAGACTCTGCTAATCACGGCTTGGCTAGAGTACCCAAAACTGGCAAACACTCTGGCGTCAAATAGTAGTGACAGTCGACTGCTCAAATACTCCCCGGTGATGAACAAATGAGCTGCAGGTGTGTAGGAGGACCAACGAGGACAGGCCACCACCTGGTGGTGGAGGGAGAGACAAACACAAAACTACCCACACAAACTGGATTCCTAACAGTTATAGTGCCAAATTTAATAAAGCTTCAACATGCTTTTTCTGCAGCAAACTTAAATAGTCTAGCATGCATGATCCCTAATGAGGTTGGGGTTTGCTCTTTGTTTTTTTATAAAACAATTGTACCTGCTAACTCCACCCTTTCCTGCTCCTTGGGTCTTGGGCAGCTCATCCCGTGATGCTTTAGGGTGATCTGAAATTCTTTGAAATCACCTGCGCTGGGTGGGACTTTCCTTCTAAATGTTTCAGATTAAAAAACTAGCAATGTTCACATGAACATTTAGAGGTTTAGAGGAGCATCTGCACCCAATGCCATTTGCATGTTTTGCAACAATGATTTTGTTTAAGTCTTTTATTCCTAATTTTGTTCCACTTTTCTATGGATTACTTGGGTCATCATCCCTGACTTATGATATCAATTAGAGCTGCATGACCTTAGAAAATCTTGTCATGGTAATATCATCAGAGAAAGTAAAGGTTCAAAGCCATGTAGCTGGACGTCATAATGATGATTATAAAAAAAGGATGACAGTGCTAAATGATATTTGTAGTGCACCTCATAGTTTATAAAAAAGTAAAGGAAATAAAACATAACTGCGCTTTTTGCATGATCCGAACTCTCCTGTTTTAAAAATTCTGAATATCAGTCTCTATGTACTCTCCTGCTATATAAAGATTACATGCTCCATTTTTGCATTTACGGTATATTTGCAATATAATATGCAGCTCTAATGACAGCAGCTCTATCATTATCTAAATGTTAAAGCAAATTTGACTGTATAGCTGATTAATTACTCTGTGTGATGATTTTTAACCTTTTTCTCCACAGAATAACACCTCATGGCGGCCCGAGTCGTGTCAGGAATGTACCTGCTACAGCAATGTTTCCATCTGCAGACCCATCCACTGCCCAAACCCCCAGTGCAACTTCAAAAGGGTAAGAGCTTGTCCTGTACTGGTGGTGATGGTACTCTGAAAACTAACTGCAGCTACAATTTATTGGCCAGAACAAAAATGCCCTCCACAAAAATTTGGCAGTTTTTGCTGTTATGTAAAAGGCAGGGATTATGCATGAGGAGAAAAAGCAAAAAAAAAGGCAACCACGTTTTAGTTCAGCTGAATTCCCCAAAAGACATTTTAAAACAATTTTCTTTATTCTCCATTTATCATTTTCTCCAGCCCATGCTTCTCTCTTAATGGGATTTTAAACAGGAAGCTTACAGTTTTGGCTTCAGATATGATCCCCTGATTTCACGAAACAATCAATGTCTGATAAATTCCACTCTGCTAGCTGACAGCCCAAATTTAATTAAAAATTAGTCATCGTGCTCAGCAACCCATGTACTCTCACCATTAAGAAAGCTCTTAAAATTGAACTCCTGTCACCCAAACTGATAAAATGGTGGAGATTTAATAATCTGCCAGGATTAGAACGAAAGCCTCCTTTTTAAAATCTCCTTCTTGTATATTTGAGCTCACATTTACCTTCTTTTGTCAATTTTCCTGCCAAACTGACCTATCTGTGGTGCATCTCTAGATTGCTCAGTGTTTAAAAGTCCTTTAGAACCTACCTGTTGGGTAAAGCAAAACAGATCAGATATACAGATCATTTATCCGAGGATCTTTTAAGTTTATACATCCTATCAAGGCGCCAGTTTAATAATGAGTGTAAGTCTGATCTTAATATCAAGAAGAAAAACTGATACTAGCTCGATATATACTTTTAGATTTTTGCTGGACAAAAAAGTACTTTTCAGAGTACATTATAAAAAAGAAAAGTTAAAATAAGAAACCTAACTTCAAGCAATCTAACAACTTGCAGTATTCTGTCAATGTTTCCGCCTTAATAAAAGTACAGAATGCTTTCAGGGTCTTAAGGGGAAAAAAATCATTTAGTAAATGCTAATTATGAAAATGAAAAATAGAGTTTAAATGAAATTATTTCATATTTTAATAATTTACTATGCAATGAAATGAAAATTTTTGGCTAATGTCAATATTCAACATCACCCAAACGTTTGTGGGAACATTTGTGGACAGCAGTTGTTAATTTAATAAGATCTGTTCACATAATCACAGATTTGTAGCAACAGATTGTACCAACAGATTACACATGAATAGTGAAAAAAAGTGTGGAGAAATTTATTTTTTTTCCTAAAAATATGCTCACACTAAGAACACCTCTGGTCTCCTCAGTGGTTCGGCTGTTGGTCACCTGCTCGAGAGGTTGTTTAGTCCTATTTCTCCAGTTTTTGGGCGGCTCATTCCCTGAAATCTAAGAGTGCTATTGATTCATGATCTTTGTGGCAACAGAAACAGAGGCGTAGCCAGAAATTTTTTATAAGGGTGGCCAGGCAATAACCAATGTACACTGAGCGGTGGCCGAAACTAGATAGGCACCAGAACCTCACAGTCAATCTACACTGTTCCAACAGGAACATTAACGAGCAAAACATCCATATTTTCTAAATAAAGACTAACTACAGCCTTTGCTTACAAATACATGCATATATTTAAATACTCGTAATTCTAGATAAAAGGTATAGTGGATAAAACTCAGTTTTGAGTTCTGGGGCGTAAATCAATAATCATTGTCATTACTTACCTACTTGTATCAATAAACATTCTGCTAAAATTTATATTTAGAAGCACTAATATCTACATAAATTGATTATTTGATTTTTTGATTGAAGTTGAAGTTTTTAAGTTTTTTATTAAAATTGTTATTTATCTTTGATTTCACTGATGATTCCTAGATGACTTACAGAGACACATAATTTTCTCTTTACCCCATAAAACACAAAATCTAGTTCTGAAAAGAGGATGCATTCTGTATTTATCATCTTTGATGTTAGTATATTGATGTGTATAATTAACCACAAAAAAATTAAATGTTTTGAATATTCAACTTGAGAGTATTATTGTTGCCACCATCTGTATGAGAGGGAAACAATTGTAGGGGTGGCCAATGATTAGCTAAGGGTGGCCATGGCCACCCTGGCCCCCCATCTGGCTCGGCCCCTGAACAGAAAGTGTGTTTTTGGTCGATACCTGTTGACATCCTCATAGCTCATCCATCTGTTCTGCATACATACAAACAAATTAATACAAAGGCCTTTTTTTAGGTCAGAAAGCACATCTACAATTCTCTTTTTTCTAGTAAAATAGATGTAAAAGCTTTTAATCTTTCATACATCATACTTTAAACATTTCTGCATGTGTTTTTCAAGTACAGTACGCATAACTCAGCAGATCAAACTTAAAAGAAAACTAGAAGTCTTAATTGGCTTAAAAAAAAAAAAAACTTTAAACATAACTGACTGACTTAAAAAATATTACTAAGCTTATTTTAAAATATGCTTTATGATTAACTAGTGAGAAAAGGACCGTGTGACAGACTAGATGCACATATAAAAAAGTGAAACAGGTTTTTTCAGATTATGAATGCTTCGCTGTGAGGCACATTTTAGCACTGACCTATTATCCGCCCCGCGACTCATTTCCCACTCATGCAGTAGATTTTATTGTACTGCTTGTTCAGAAACAATTTGCCTTCTGCTGCACTCCATGTACTGTATACAGTAGCACACACGCACGCACGCTTTTCAATTAACACAATACAGCTGCTGAAGCTCCGTAGGGATGCTTATTCTCACCCTCCAGAAATTGTATTCCTTCCCTATTACTTTTTCCATCTCTTACCATTTTTATTTTATAACACCTAAACTACCAAGGCACGGCTGTTGCTGCTTTCTTATTTGATTCCCACCACACATCCGCCCTCAATTACTGTGTGAAAGCAGAGCGGCAGAAAAAAAACAAAAAAAAGTCTGGTATATTGTAATATGTGTTGTACGCCTGCACATGTTGAGTATCTGATAAAGCTCTTATATATTCATTACTGTCAGGGCCTCTTGGCAGTTAATAACTATGGAAATAGATGTGCTGGATTTGATATGTATTGTATTTGTGTTGCTTATTTGTTTTCCCTATATTACTCTTGGGTATTGTGTGTATTGTGGTGTATTGATGTGTCGGTGTGTGTGTGTGGTTTTTTTGAAGGGAGAGTTTTTGAGGATTCCAGCCAACAAATGCTGTCCAGAGTGCGTCTCGTCATCCCAGGACTCCTGCCAGTACCAAGGAGCTACCTATGGAGTGAGTAAAGTCAGATGTTTTACCATTTTGCATTTGGGGGGGAGTAGAAAACATACATGTCAGTAATACTTACATGTCCTTTTTCAACATTCAACGTGATTAACTCTGACCATCCCAGAAAAAAAGTGAACTATCTCTCACCATTTCTGAAAGGAATTTAATCTCAGTAAAAGGGAAGCAATTCTGTTAGTGTTTAAATGATAAATGAAATTATTTATAATTTAAACCATTTATATGCTATTTAATAAGTTTTTATGATGAAAACAGATGAACAGAGGGAAGTTGTTTGAGAGGAAGTTCTAATCAAAAATATGCAAGATAGCTGTAACTAAGAATATGCAAATATTATATTAAAACTAATTTATCTTTTATTATCTTCTATACTTGGGATTCCCAAACATTTTCTGATCCCAAAAATAACGATGTAAAAGACTGATGACTTTCTAAAAATACATATATATTACTTCACTCTGTAATTATTCCATCCATCCATTTTACGTCACGTTTCATCCAAGTTGGGGTCGTGAGGGCTGCTGGTGCCTATCTCTAGCTGTCTATGAGCGAGAAGCGGGGGCCCTGGACAGGTCGCTAGGCAACACATAGACAAACAGGACAAACACATACTCACACCTGAGGAGAATTTATCTATAATTATTTATAATATAAAATTTGGTAAGTATTTTCTATTTTTTTTTAATTAATGCGTTCTTTAAAAATAAAAATTATTACATTTATCATTTTAATTGTTTTTCAAATTATTTAATGCTCCCTTTTACCATTAAGTGCTATATTTAATATTTGAATCACATATAAGATAATTTCTTATTTGTATTTCATGCAACATTCCCGTTTATAGATTTAAAAATTTATTTCGTCCCTCATACTTTAGGGATCAGATCATAGTGATTTTCACCACCTTGTGACCTCCAACTTGGTATCTCGTGACCCCTCTGGGGGTCCCACCTTCACATGAGGATAGATTTTTTTTCCTCTTTTAACTAATTTATGAGCTACTAGCAGCAGTGTTTTAAAATCACATGATTATCAAAAAAAAAATTTATGAAATGATGTAACACATGCGACAACCTAAAAGTTTTTCCAAGCTTAACTCGTCCAGTTTTTGATCAAATGCGTCTAATTGGGATGGAAGGTCTCCAGATCCTTTCTTTTTCTGCTTGGTTTGGTATCTGGCAGCAGAAAGCAGCAACACGTGAGATCTGTCCTAATTTCTAACCATATCTACGTTAAATCCAAGGGCAAGGTAGGCTTTGTCAAATTGTCTGAACTTATTTTATTTAATTTCAATTAAATTCATTTATATAGCGCCATCCTCTGTTTCTTCTTATAAGAATCAGAAAGTACTCCATATGTCCTCCTCCATCAGCTCCTTACACACCTGTGCTTTATAATTCTTCTACTGTCACAGGTATATTCATTTGATTGATGCAGCCACCTAGTGACCGGAGGGTTTTTTTTATCGTTCAAGTATGAGTAAAAACTGTTGAAAATCCTACTTTCCTCTGATGCCTTGCAGGGAGACAAGCCCCACTAATGGAAAAAAACTAACCTAAACAAACGGGCTGTGCAGAGAGCATTAATCAGAGGAGCAATGTGGGAGAAGGTGCAATGGTTCTAGGTGAAACCAAAACTGAACTTTTTTGCCTATATGTAAAACATTATTTGTGGCAGAAAAGAAGGCTATGGAACACATATCCCAACCTTGAAGCATAGTGGGGGGAGTGTCATGCTGTGGGGATGTTTCTCAACAGAGACAGGGAAGCTGTTTAGAGATAAATAGGGTACTGACTGACCTTAAGTTTTGTTGGAAATTGTTAAGAAGGTGCATTTGTTTTTTGGTGGTTGAGCAAACAATCTAAAAGATGCTTGCTTATAAATGTTGATTTCATCTTTGGAGTACACCTTTATGATTCTGAATGATTGAAAAATGTAAATGAAACTATAAATCATTTTATTGTCTCACAATGGGGAAATTCATTTTCTGCATTTAACCTACTCCCTTAGGATGCAGTGGGCTGCCATTATCATGTAATTGCAACCTTCTCAGAGCACAAGCACACTGCTCTAAACACTAGGCCAACACTCCCCCAATTAGGCTTATAATCCCTTCACTTTCACTTTGCATTTAAGCACTGATATATTTGCTGCTTTAACATAAAAAATAATCCCACTGGAATGCATACTTTTTCACAAGAAATATTTGTATCTCCTTGAAACGCAGTCGGCCTCAGCACATGGCCGCTCACACTGAGTCTTTTTCTGAGGTTCCTTCCTGTTAAAAGGGAGGTTTTCCTCTCCACTGTTGCTACAAGCATGATTGATGTGAGGGATTGTTTTCGAGTCAATAAGTCGAAGCAATCAACTGGTTTTCCGTAGATGGAAAACTCTGAACCAATCTATCTGATGTGGTTGAATTGTCTCCGTAAAGAGACTTGAGTTGACGTGCTGTGAATCAGCGCTATATAAACAAACTGAATGGAAAATTTTCTAAGGGTTCTTTTACTTCAGTCATGAATTTATGCCTGTTTAGCTCAGATACTGTATTTTGCTAGAAGTTTCTAACTTTTTTTATTGAACGGTATTTCCCCTGAGTAGAAAGGCCGTTTAGAAAGAATCGGTTTCTGAAAAAGGCTGATTTTAATCCTCCTCACTACTTCTGGCATAACCTGGAGAGGCAGATACAGGCTTTCCTCTTGGTATTGGTTTCTAGCAGTTACAGCTGGACTCCAATAAACCTGAAAAGAGGATAGGAGTTAGAAAAAATGCTGGATATTACATGTTTGGCTGTGTTGGAATTTTTTTTCTTTCAGTTGATTCGTCCATGTCTATATGTGTGTTAATTCTTAAAATATGTGGTTTTTCATTAAACCTTTTTCGTCCACATCAGTTATGCTAGCTTGTTACATAAAATCCCAACACACTCATTGTACTATGAGGGACAGAACATATGACTCTTTTCTACAATATCTACAAACATGTATTAGACAACTGTCTTCATTCTCAGATGCAATTCACAGTCAAACACTGATCTCTTTTATTTATTTACCAATGGAAGCAGGATTGTATTTGGATATATTTTCAGACACTGCTGATAGTCATCTTTGTGGAAAAGTTGTTTCTTGACATTTCGCCTCCTGTCTCCTCAAACAAAAGCATTGCTCCCTTGTTTATCTTCAATCAAGTGTCCTTCAGCTTTTTGGCAGCCAATTTAGACAGAACAAGTCCTCGACAGAAACAAGTCTCTCACTTGGCAGGGCTTTCAGACTCAGCTGGCATTGCCCGCTTTGCACACAGATCTGAGCTCCAGGGGGAGGAGTTGGATGGAGGAGTCATGGCTTTTTTTGAGGATTTAATCTTTTCCCACTGAGGGTCTGTGAAAATTTTGAAAACGGCTGCAGCTCATGTGCCCTAGATGGGTGTGGGAAACTTTAAGCTGGCATAAAAGCTTGAATAATATTTTGAGTTTAAATTGTATTTTTAACTTCACACAGATTTTTAAGAAAGTTGAGTCAGTCTCTAGTTTTATTTTAGCACACATGCAACATTAAATACTCAGTCCTCATAAAAAAAAATGACAGGAAGAGATTATTGATAACATTAAACTTTTTTGGGATAAAGACTGTACATTTCTGCAGACATGTTGTCTTTATCGCTAAAGGCAAAGCTTGAAGCCACATGATCTGAGATAGAAAAAAAGCCCTCCTATTCATTTTAATCATTTTTCTTTTAAGAAAAATTAGTGGCTTCCAGCAATGGTTAAACACTGCATTTGATATAGGTGATCACTCTGAGTCTGGTTCTGCTGGAAGTTTCCTCCTGTTAAAAGGGAGATTTTCCTCTCTACTGTCACCTTATTCTCATACATGAGTAGTGGATCAATATATATACAATATATATAATTAGGGGGTCCCTGTTCCATCTTGCCATCAGTTTGGGGGTCCTTGGCCTGGAAAACATTGAAGACCTCTGCTTTAAAGTCAATGCCTTGATGCAATCAGCTGGTTTTCTTAGGAAAATATTTACTGATCTGAATGTATGATCTTATTGTGCCGTGATATTGTGTCTTATAAATGGCAGCAATATAAATAAAGTTAATTTTCATATAAAATGATCCCTAAAAACAGTCTTTACTAGATGCACATTAGCAATAGCTAACAGAGTTTACCGTTATCCCAGGGCAGTTAAAGGTACTGTACTGTCAAGACTCAGCCCAAATGTAAATTACACATCTACTTTTCAAGTTCATGTTTAATTTGGCTCGCTATTTCTCTGTTTTTGTAAAAAAAATTTATATTTCCTCATATAATGTTTGCAACCCCGACTACTCCAATTATTGACTTTGGGTTATTTCTGCTTTTAGCTTCACAAAACCTTTTGTCAAAGGTCTCTATTTTATTATTTCTCATTTGTTCTATTTTTACCTCTAAATTATAATAGACCGCATGAATCAAATTGATTTAAAAATGGCAGGTATAAAAATTCAATAAATAAATCAATAAAATTAAGGATATTTTATATATAAAGCTTTGTCCATCAGATTTAATTTGCAGATCGGGCTGCAGAGCTTTTAATTTCCAGCTTTATACTGTTTGCTCTGTTGAAAACTGCTTCCGTTTCGTTTAACTATTAAGTTTATAATTGATTTATCTTTCTTTGCTCTGATATCCATCTGTTCATATTCCTTTGTGATTTTTTTTTTGTTTTTTCATTATAATAATAATAATAATAATACATTTTATTTAACAGCGCCTTTCTAGACACTCAAGGTCACTTTACAAATAATACAAAAAATAAATAAAAAGACGATGAAAATACAAAATACAGATACAGGAACATAAAACAACAGAGAACAAAAAACAATTATGGACTTCTGATATACTGAACTCCTATACAAATCAAATTCAAACAAATAAAGCTGATTTTATTTCTTCCATCAGAACCTCTCTGCATCAGGTGCAGACAGGAAATATTATCTTTTTTAAGGACACTTAAAAATTTTCACAGAAGAGGATCCACATGGGAAAATAAAAATTTGCGGGGTTTTAACCGAAATCAAAACCTTTAAAAATGCTTTGATGTTGTACTATTGCTTTATAATATAAACTACCAAAGTCATACAAGGAATGTCATGTTTTCCTTTTACAAATATGTATTACAGACTGACAAGGAATGAAATCAGTGTGGAGAACACAGCTTTGGTTATTAAAAGACAATGTTTTCTGGTGAGAGGCATGACCCCGTAACCCTCCAAACGCCAAACTGCAGCAGGTTCACCGCTAGCTGCAAGCAAACAGTTTAGTTTCCTGCATGCTTCCAGCAGCTGATTCAGACGTCTGAGATATTTTCTGTCTTTAGTGTATACATTTGCCTCTTTATTACCATAAAAAGTTTCTTCTTCTTCTGTCCCTTTATGATCTTTCTTATTCAATGGTTACACATCCCACTTGCTCAGTGACTGTTTTCCCATCTGTCACTCAGGCTTAGCACATTTCATATCCTCAAAGAGTCTTTTTCATCAAACTATCTCTTCTCCTTCCTGTTTGCCCTCAGGCTGTATATCTCTTTGTAATTACCCCATTTTTTTTTCCTTGTTTGTTTGCTTCCCACAGCATAACAGTCAGTGGAGTGTCTCGCCCTGTTCGGTATGCGTTTGCTCCAAAGGTGGTGTATCCTGCCATACTCGGCCCTGCCCCAATGTCACCTGTTTGGGGGATGAGAAACCATTCATTCCAACTGGAGATTGCTGCCCCAAGTGTGGCCGAAATGGAGGTGAGGGTTGCTTCAAATCACTCAGTACATTAATGGTTTAATACCGAATGCATTTGTTTAGGAAGTAACTGTTCTTCAGCTTTTTATATTACAGGCTACATCTTTTGATTAATTATTAAAATTTCCAAATAAGACAAAACTATAACATCTAACAATCTCTTGCAATTGATTTTTACAGAACATTTGGAATGTCTTACTCATTATTTAACAATATTAACCACAAGTCTAACTTGAAATACCTGAAAACACGTATTTGCATGGTCCTTTCTTGCCTTTCCCTTCCCTTCTTACCCCTAATTTACACAGCGTCCTTTCCCCTCCAGTCCGGTGTGCTGCAAACTTCTTAATGTATATCATGTTTGCTCCACTGTGCTGCAAAGCCCACAGCAGATCCAAGGAGTGTGGGCATATCACATGTTAATCGCCTTTAACAGTTATATTCTACAATGAGTGAGTATACTGGGTGCAGAAAAGCTATATTCGTTGATTATACAGTGTTTATGCACTTCACGTTCTTTTAGTTTTGTTAAAATCTACAGCCCGGTATTTGATCTAAAGTGCCCAGTTGATAATATACTGTAGACACATATATACAAATATAATCATAAATACCTTAAGATAGCAAGGTTTATAATAAAATACAGTCATCTTTAGTGGCTCTTTTGAAAATCTGAATGCTGTGGTGATTCAGTTTCCTGTTGGAGCAATTGGATTTCTGAATATTTACTTTGGTCTTGCTGCAGTCTTTGGCAAAACTAGAATCAGATAGAATTTTTGATTGGATTTGATGTATATTATTGATCCCAAGCTGAAAAATTACTGTAATGTAGCAAAGCAATGAACACAACAATATCATGCTGTCTGCTCACTTTGCCCTGTGCTGCAGAGCAGACAATGAATGCTTTCTTTGATTATCCCTGTTGGAAATTTGCTGGGCAGTTTGCAGCTGGACGGAGTGGACGCGGTGTAAATAAGAGCAATACCTTTATTGCGCTTCTGCCCTTCCTTCCTTGTGTCTTTTCTTCCTTCTACCTTCCTTCTTTCCTTCTTTCAAATCAGTGCATCAGATCTAAGATACAATCACTGGGGCTTTAGTGCTTTTGTTGTTGCTCTGGGATATAGAATAAGGTTTCCCAAAACTAATGCCCTCTTGTAGAGCTGGTAGTTTTTAAATCCTATGAACTTGAGGCTTATGTATTTAAATTGACTTCTGATACGTTAATACTACTACAGTGATGCCTTTGCAATGGTCTTTGTATTTTTCTTTACATTGTTTTTGTAATGCTTTTTTTATTTTCAGTTTTTACTTGAGTCCTTTCTTCATTTCTTGGTTGTGAATTATTTTATTTAATTATTTTTTTAATTACTTCCTGTTTTCCTTTGCCAATCCCTTCCCTTTCTTACAACCTTCTCTTTATTTTTATATTTTCTTTACTTAGATCCTTAATTGTGATTGTGTCCTTTCCTCCTTTATTAAGTCCATCTGCTTCAACTCCTTTCTTTCAGTCATTTGTTCCTTCTGAATTCTATCTCAATGTCTTTCCTTGTTTTGTTCTCCTCCATCCTGTTTCTGGTTCCCCCAGGTCTCATATTTGCAGAAATATCTGCCATTGATTCATGTTAAACCTTTTTCTTAAAAAAGTCTTCATTTAAGAGAAGCCTTTTCTTATTAACAGGTATTTCAAAATTGTCCTGAAAAAAATAAATAAATAAATTCTCAATAGTTTTAGATGTTCAATCACCGTAAGATAAAAGGGAACCCTAATTCTGCAATTACAAGGTGTCAAGGACATTTTGTTATATCAAGAATTTTGAGGCATATTTTGTCTACTAAACTAAATACAAAAAAGAACAGCTTCATGTAAATAAGAATATAATTGAAAAGCTAATCTTTATTATTAAATGTATATTGTATCAATAAGCTTTTAACACCAAAGTGTGTCTGTCCAGCAGATAGTCAGGGATCCATCACAGAAGTCATAGGAAGTCCTTCCTGAAGAAGCTGTTGCATTGCTTTAAATAACAAATGAAAAAATGTTGTAGTAAATGGTTCAAAACCATTAGGAATAACTGCATGGATTGTAAAGTCAAGCTTGTTCAAAATTTTGCAGAAGATCGGTTAGAGCTGGTCTGTAGCTGAAAGGCTAACAAGACATTTTAGAGCATCACGCTTTCTTCTGATGAGAAGCGTTAGGGGGGAAGATTAGATTTTCTAGCAAAATGTGGTGCCAAAACTAACTTTAATGAGCTTATGTTACTGTGCTCATCAATAAACTGCTCTGACCTGGACTCTGTAGGGAATCTATGGGGAATTATGAACAGGAAGTTTAAGAACATCAGAACTGACGGCACAGATGAGATTTCAGAACTCCAGAGCAGCACTACAGGCTGATCTCCACTATGCCGCGCTGCATTGATGCAATCATTAATTTAAAATAAGCCCTAAGCAGATAGTTAGTGCAGATAATGAAAGTATATGGAGCTACTTTACAGTAGGCACACATTTCTACATTAGAATCTCTATTATTTTATACTTTATTCAAGTTGGTGTCTGATCCAAAGTAACTAAACAAAAATAGCATTTTTATAACATTTTAACCCCTTATGCATATTGTCGCGAATAGGCATCAAAGCCTTGTATTACATACACAGAGAAGATAACATGTGCATTCCTCCAATTCCAGTTATTATACATTCAATGTGGAACTAGGAACCTTCAGCAAGCTCTTGTTCCAGCTACAATTGGTCCCTGTCATTGTGCTATCATTGGCTAATATCACACATTTGAAATATACCTAAATCAATATTTATGAATAGGTTCATTTAGTGAGTTCCACCTGAATATGCTTTAGGAAAGCTGATGCTAAAATTATTTACACATATATTTCTTTAAATATTTTTAAACTGCATAAGGACTTTATGATGATAAGCATTTGTAAAAATAACCAGCATTATTAAATTAAAAGGTGAAAAGGTGGAGTACAAACTGACATTTTTCTTTAACTGATATTGCTAAAGGCATTTATCATTTAGTAAATTTTTCCAAACAATGCTTTGACATACAGTAAGAGAGATTGGTAAACATATAAGCTTTGTGCCTAAATGTTAATTATTTGATTTAATGATGTCTTGGAGCAACAATAATTTATCTCTGTGTTTAGTAGCTGATAAGTTAATTCATAGGCCAGATTCAACATCACCGATCCTGCAGAGGAGAAATGCTTAAAGAGCCAGCTCGTTACCCAACAATTTTCCTCATTCGGTTTCTTTTGTCGGTGTCAGAGCCCTGCTCTTGGCAGGGGGTGGTCTACAAGGACGGCGAGGAGTGGGAGCCCAGCATGTGTTCCAGATGTGTTTGCAGCAATGGAAAAGCCCAGTGTTCAGTGGTGGAGTGTCAGCCAGTGGCCTGCAAACCAGTGAGTTTCACTTCCAGCACACTTGACACGTTTTGCATCTTTTATTTTCCCACTGGCAGCCATTGTGGCTTTGTATCTGTTCTACTCAGCTCAGTGACATGTATTCAGTAGAGCGATGGAGACACTGGCTTTTAGAAAAATGATGAGAGGAAAGTCAAAATCAATGACAACTCATAGAACAGTGATGCTTAAAAGAAGATTTAGGTTTTTAGCAGATAGATTACTTGCTTATAACATTAAGTCATTGATGATCAGCACGTTCATTAAAGCAGGATGTCTGGCTTTTTGCTAGTTTGAAACATAGATGTGTTCTGACATAATGTTGGCATCTGAAAAGTCTAATATGTTGTCTAATATGCATGGTATGTTTTTGAGAGCTGAAACCTGAGTCCACCCCCTCTGTTTCAGGTTGGTTTTTCTCTCTTAACAGAAATGGCTTCCTTCACACCCCTTTCAAACCACCTGTCTTCTTTGTCCAAAATTTTGGTCCTCGAAAAGAATGTCCTTTGTCCATAGGGTGTAGATTTGAATAGAAAAAGCTTCCTGGATGGGAAGCGAAACGTCTTCAAACTTGGAAAACAAAGTCCAGTGGATTGTTTTTTTTTTAAACTTTTTTGTAAGGTAAAAAAATAACAACGGTTGTGTGTCAGACTCCAAATCCCTCAGTTAGCAGAAATGTTAACGTTTACGGTAGAACTCACACAAAGAAAAAGTATGGTTTGTATGGAAGGTTTGAAGAAGAAATACTTTTTTCTAAAAAAAATAAAATTATATTTGCAAAGCTGCTTGTGTTTTAGTGTACTTCCAAGATACATATTTGGAGAGAAACAAACCCATCCTGTCAGCACAAACACCAGATCCCAAACCACATTGGTGGTGTTGAGTTAATGATTTAACCGTATAATCCATGTCAGTATTTGGAACGGTGATCCCAAACATGGCAGAAAATCTGCACCTAAATGAAAATACTAAAGGTATTAGCGTGGCATAGTCAATTACTAGGCTTTAGGATGGACCTTACAGTAGGAGAGCTGTGATTCTACAGAAATGTTCTCAAAATGAATGTCAGATTAACATTTCAGAACCTGAATGTGTTTTTCTTTTTACCAACACTTTACATAACCCAACAAATATTTTCTCTCCCTCAGCATGAAAACCTGGTGATCCAGCCAGGCCAATGCTGTCCCAGATGTGTGTCCAACCCATGTCTCTCTGCTGGAACACAGTACCAGGTAGGCTCTTTCTTGCTGAGCATTATTTCATCCTAAACGCAGCGTATATCCGTTTTCTTTACTCGTTCTGCTCAGCTGTTTGTTTCTTCCTGCAGTGCAGACTCTGATCTCTCACTTTGATCACATCACTGGGTTTCCACTCTGTCTAATGTTTGAATGCCCCACTCTCAGCTGTCAGATCCACCAGCAAGGGTGCAATCTTTGAAAAGGGAATTATTTACAGAAGGAATGCATGGGATTCTTGATATTTCATTGATATCAGCTACTAAATGCCGATAAGTATAAAATGCAGACAGTTTTCCAAGACTAAAGGGAATATTTTCTTCCATGTTTCCTTTTAAATGTCTGGTGTCATAACATTAAAGCTTTGAGAACTGCCAAGATGTAAATAAAAACACAAAAATCAGTGATGTCAAATTTTTTTTTAACTATGCGGATAAAAGAACTTGAAAGCCACAGTTTTTGCAATTTTTTTGTAGCCAATTAACATTCTCACAATAAAGCAAAACCTTAATGTCTAATAAAGGTATGTTACGTCTGGCCAAACTCCAAAGATGGTCATAGCAGCAGCAATATCATAATAATGTCAGTTAGAATTAGTTCATGAAGAGGTTAAAAATAACTACAGAAACGTAAGAGTCAAGTTCAAGAAAAACAGGGAGCACAGAGTGAATTGGGCTGCAAAATATGAAGAAAACAGGCTTTGATTATAGATCACAGCCTGAGGAAGATAAAAAGAAGTAAAAGGCTTAAATACCAAATGTGTTAAAAACCAGACATGCTACTTGAGTCATGATTTTACTAAAGTTCAGACCCAAATGCAGAAGACCAAACAGGGAGACCAGGGAAAAGTTTTAACAGGTTTTATTAAAGAGATAATACACAGAGAAGTGTTGCTCTAAACACTGCTCAACCGGAAAAGAAAAGTGAGGGGAAGACACAGTAGGTTAGTTCAGGCTCAGTGGGAAATTTGACTCGTGAACTTGGAGAAGAGGATTTGGTTGCTGACTCACTTTCCCAGAGCAGTTGTTGAATTCTTGACTCCAGTCTGTATGCTGTAGTTCCAGTGATTGTCTGATTCGATGGAGGGCGGAACATGGTTTACCCAGAATGCGGTTGTTTGTAGGTGAATGGAGAAACTGACTGCCACTCAGATTTCCTGCGGTATTTGAATGGGTCGTAGTTGAGATTAATCCCTTTCTCAGTGAGAAGCTCAAACGATCTCTTGGGGAAAGTGGATCCAAACCTCCTGTTTGAACCCCAACTAAGTTTGTAGCCCAGTTGATCCTTCCAGGGAGAGAAGGTCAGAAAAATCCAGTTTGCAGGATGACTTCCTGCTGAGAGGCAAAGACAAAACAATGTTAAAACTCAGGTTGACAAGAACTCAGTTTGACTCAGCAAAACTCAGCTTGGCTAGAGTACCCAAAACTGGCAAACACTCTGGCGTCGAGGTAGTGGCAGTCAGCAGCTTAAGAACACTCTGAACACTACGTTGGTTGCTCACAAAGTTTTTCTGGAAGATTACTGCACCCTAGTAGTGATAGCAATGCTACAAACAACGTTATAAATGGATAGATCGAAACAAACAGAGCTGTTTGTCATAGCTTAACTCTGACAAACTAAACTGCGGACTTGAAAAAAAAACATAATGATATGTTTTATTTTCCGTTTATTCCAATGAAGAGGATTCTGTCTTTGACTTCTATTTAATCCTCATCTATTTATTCCCAATATTTCTTATCTCAAAGTTGTGTCCCTGTTTGTGTTTGGTAGGAATGAACAACAACAGGATGCTGAGGGGAGGATTAAACAGTATTTAGAGTCGTAGTAGATCGGTTACCTCAAATAATATCGGTTGGTCGTTATTTATAGCGAGCTGTCACTTAACCGTGAGGCATTGCAGGGTGGCTGGGCTCGGTCAGGCTCTGTTAAGTAGCTGTGTTGGCTTTCACCATCTAGCTTTCTTGTAATTCCTTGGTACTGCCATACAGAGGGCACTATACCTGTTGATGTTTGCTCATTTCTACTTAGGCTCAAAGAGAACAAAACACACTGTTAGGTTATTCTTGGTCTATATAACCATATTTTATCTTGATTATTTTGGTTAGGCATTTAGGCTGCGTTCACACAGCAGCCTGAAGTAACCCAAAACCAATTTTTTTGCCCATATTCAACTTGCATCTGATCTTTTCATGACAGTCTGAACAACACAGATCAGACTTTTTCCAATTTGAACCAGGCCACTTGGCTATGTGGTCCTGGATCCGATACGAATCTGATCTTTTCAAATCCGACCTGTGTCTAAACGGCCAGGACGCATTCATCCGACCTGAACACCATTAATACCCGACAAAGGTCACTATTCTGTGTCAAGAAAACACAACCATGGCGGACGATGATGCGGAGAGTAGTATTTATGTTTATCCATACTGAAAACATTGTGTTTTTAAGGTTGGGAAAGATTGCTAGATGCGCCCCGGCACTACCATCGATGTTTACTTCAGTAAACACTGCGCATGCGGAACATTTGCGTTGTATGACTGCAGTTCACAGAGGAGATCCGAGTCGCATTTATTTGGAAATGTGAACAGCAACGCAAAAAATTCGTATTTCACAAAAAAATCTGATTTGAGCATTATGGCCTGCAGTGTGAACGTAGCCTTAATGTGATTATGCATCTTTATTTAAAGAAACAAAGATGTGTCCATCCATCTTCATCTACCAACTGTAAATATGAGCTAATGAACAGATTTCTAGACCAAGCCTGAACTAGATTTTAAGCTGGTTTGGGGTGTTATATTACACAGGGCTCTTGGGTGGGGGGTCAGGTATGGATCAGGCTTTTTTTTTTTTTTTTTTATTAGGTGGTATAAACTTTCTTTAGATGTGGTGGAGAAAATATGGTTAAACCTATTATCAAATAGAGGAGTTGTAGTTTACTTTTTGTTGGTTGTTTTTTTTTAAAACAAAGAAAGTGAAATGCAGCAAGTGATCAGACACGAGTAGAGCATGCAGTGTGCAAATGAATCACACCATGAGGTGTAATCCACCTGATTTGGAAGCACTCAGGGTGAGGATGATGGAGACCAGCCTGCAGCTGCAGAAGCAGGGAAAGGTAATAGATCAGTCTCTGTCTGCTCTGCTGTGCTACACCCTGCTTGTTAGCTGAACTACAAGCACATCTGGGTAGACTGACTGCGTCTAGAAGCAGTAATACAGTAAATTAATTAATTTTTGACGTTGGGTTTTAAGGTCAGGCTCCAATTGGTTTTGGCTTTATGTCTACTGGCCCGAGTCTGGTGAGCCACTTTGGACACCTCTAACTCAAACCTGCACTCACACCTATAGTTTATTTTGCTCTCCTGTCTGTTGGTAGACATTTTTAAAGGAAATTCCACAGCAAAGTGAGATTCATAACTTATTAAAAAAAAAAAAAAGTTTTTTTTATGTTTTTTTATCTCTTATCTTTCCAAAACATTTTTAAAGAAAGTCCTATTTTGTGCATGTTTTTCCTGACTTGTTATAGATATATTTAATCAGATCTGTTTTGCTGCATTATTCCTCACTGTGACTGTGGATGGAGTACGTCAGTGAATGTTTAAGCAAGTTTCAGGTTGAATATAGATGAATATTCTGATCTCTTTTGATCAACTTGTTCAGAGGAAAGTGCATCATTTTCTCCAAAGTGAGTTTAAATCCTCCTGGAACGTCATAAATCACTCAGGAGGTAATCGACGTTCAAAGAGCATCGCTGGCTTTTGATGTCCTAAATAGTGAAATAATTAGAAATCTCCGAGCTCTGGGTCAATATTTAATCCAGACATTTAACTTTAAAGAGAAACTCATCTAGAATTTAATCTGACATCTATGGGACGGTGACCCCAGTTTTATCCAGATTATAGTTATTAGAGCTGATGCGTTGAAACAGGGAATCAGTCTGGGCTGATATGCGTGAGAATAGGAAACTTTATGCTATTAAATGACTATTTTATATTATAATAGTCTTAATTTCAACATTGCTTCAATGTTTATTTTATGTTTTATTTATTTATTTATTTTTTTTTAATTTATAATAAATTAAACTGGGCCAATATTAACAACTGATGTTTGCTTTCATCTTGTTGCTGTTTGTTTATTTGTTTAGGAAGGCAAGTGAAGGAGATTTTCCATGTAGAATTTGTTTTTTGTATGTGACACTAATAGAGACAGTAATAGGATTGTTGGACTTAAACCAAACCAAAACATTTTTTAGATAGAAACACTATCACCCGCTCATTTTCAACCCCTCCCTTAGAGAGCATTGCAGAGTTTGGGGTCTTTCTTCCATCCATGGGTAGCTGGTGGGGAGGAATTTGATCCTTTGTTTAATTGTGTCTAAAGGGAAGGACAATGTAAAATATATAGAATATCAGTAAACAAAACAGAAATATTAACACGGGATGTTGATATTGAACCAGTTTTCACTTTGATGTATCCAAATTGACGATGCTTTTGCCAGCACTGTTCTCGTTATTGTTTGAAAGGGAACATAAATCACCAGGTCTAGCTGTGAATCGATTTAAAGACCAATTTAAACCAGATGAATACATTGCTTCTCTCTCCATGACCTGTTAAAATAAGGCTGAAATAAGGCACTCTTAGAAAAATACTGAAAAGTCATTTTTTCTTCTCAGACACTGCAACGAATAAAAGAAGCACACATCCAAAAATATAAAAAAAGTCATTCAGTATTTCTTATGTGATATTATATACATTTGAAATAGATATGTGAGATAAATAAAATTACAGCTTTGTAACTGAATGTCTTAATTTATTTAATTTAAATAGTTATTAATTAGGAAAATCTAACTTAATCAATGAAAGGTTTCCTTAATCAGGGATTAAGAAAAATATGACAGCTTCTCATTTCTTGTAACACATGAAATTATGAGATGAGGCTCATTTCTACTAAATAACCTTAACATTTAATTTTTTTATACAGCAGTTGGATTTTGAATTTTAAATAATTGATATTAACATAAATTCATGATATTCTGCATATGCCATCATGAGTAAAAAAAAACCCTTGCAATATCTGTAATTATTTAATGTATCCCTTCATCTCATTAGTTCTATAAAAATGTTCAAAGCTTTGTGCACATCTTTCTGACCTGTCCTCTGTCTTCCTTGGTCTTCATGTGACTCTTTGCTCTCCAGGAAAACCTCTGAGGCCCAAAAACAAACATCTGCATTTTTAAATCACACATAGGTGAATTATTAAGGCCAGATTTTATCTACATGTAGGGAAGCAGAATACATTTTCTGCCACCTTATAAATGTGCACCCTATTTGTCTCGATCTAACAAATAAAATTCAGACTAAACATAAAATCTTACTGCTTTGTGTTAAAATGTAATAAAGAAGGTGAAAAACTTTGCAAGGCTCTTTTAATTCTGTTTGAAGGTGTTTATTATGTTTATGTCTCGCCAAAATACATCAGTTTTAATACACCTGGGTCATTTGTGATTAAAAGCATAAAATCATCAAAATCTCAGCTGAATATCCTTGTTCAAGGTAAACTTACAGCTCGCTGTAGAGATGATCCTCACCCTGAAGCAGACACCGATTTCCCTTCAGGGATTATATTCTTCACGTCTGGCCTTGGAATACCCGAGGGAAGGATTTGTTAAGGTCAAACCAAATCTTTTAATAAAAATTCCCGTTTTACATTCACCACTGACTATTATTTCTGCACTTTTTATTATTTCAGGCATGACAAAACACAAAGCAGGGGGATAAATTAAGGTTTATTAGTCTCCATTTTGATTACCTTTTAATCTTCAAAACAGAAAGGATTTATTTGACTTTTATGGGTTGGCTTCGTGTTTGAACAATTTTCAAAGGAAGGAACCTCACTGGAGTTTAATAGATTTTTTAAAATTTAAACTCAATCTAAATGTGCGTCTGTGTGTCTCTGCAGCACGGGGAGCAGTGGCAGAAGGACGCCTGCACCACATGTGTGTGCGACAAGGGTCAGTCGAAATGCCACACAACCACCTGTCAGCCAGTCCTCTGTGACAAGGTGGGCAATCACACACGCACACACATGAATGTTTGCTGTCTTTCATTTGCCAGGGCTTTGTTCTGACACCTGTTCACGCTGTTTGTGGAGTTTCTTTCACCCAAGAGGGAAACCAGGACTTGCCCATTCCCAGTCTTCACTGTTTAGTCGTCCTGAAACCCAAAACAGGAAGTCTATAAAGCTGAAATGTAAATATATACATCAAGGAGGTTTGCATAATATTCCCAAAACGGAGGCGAGAACCCACTGTGCAGCTCTGTAAACAGTTTTACAGCAACACAGCATGACAAGTGCAATTACCTAAACACTTACCCACACACACTCCAACACACAATGCATGCACAAAATATCCACATGGGCTGACATTTAATCCTTAATTGCATGCAAATTTCATCTTGCAGCTTCTTTAGTTTGCTGGAACTGTTGGTGGAGTCACAGGGGACCAAACAACACAACACACTCTGGTGTATTGACTGCTATTCATTTCACCATCTGCGTTCATTTCTAAACCTAAACACCTACCAGAACCTTGTCTATTAAGAGTTCTAGATATTCCTAGTCATAACCAAAACTTTATATACCCAATGTAAAACTAAAGCTAATTGCTAACTCTAATAAGGTGGTTAATTAGGACTGGGCTTTGTCCACAATAAGCTCATCTGTACTGTAAAGGTTAAAACACTAAAGAAGGTCTTAAATGGGCAATTTAAGCAGGTAAACAAATAGTGTATACAGAAAACTACCACACAGCAAAGCATTAAATGGGTTGACAAGTAGTTACAGGTAACTGTTCTCTTACATAAAATATCAGAAAACACATCTGAATTTCAACTTAATTCATAATCTTAATTTCCAGCTAAAAAAATATATATATATATATATTTTATTATTTTATTCCTTTTATTCCTCTGGAGCAAAATAAAGTTTTTCAACTGGAAGTAGCATTGTATTTGATTATGCTGTAGATTTACTCTGTTAAAGATGGAGGATTGGTCTAAATATTGGGTTGCTTTATTAAAGTTAATATTGGATTGCTTAATTAAAATAAAAATAGAAAATTTACAAAACCTTCAAATGTCCCTTTAAGGAAGGAGAGAACTTAAAGAAGAGGTTTTAAGTATCTTTTTGTGCTGTGAAGTGAAGGGATAATGGACCTTTTTCAGTGGGTTGCTTGAATCTGGAGCTACACATTGTGTACTGGGCGATTTGGTAGAAAGATTTTAAATAACACCAACTTAAAAATAACGACACAAGTGACTTAAATCCGCATTTGCTATATAGGGACTATAGTTGCTTCTTCTCTGCATTGAAATAAATCAAGTGATGATTGGTAAAGATTCATCTGGGATGATGGGCACTATATGTTCTTGCTGGCCTCAGAAGCCTGTGGGATTTCACCAGGAATAGAGAGTTTGGCTGTGGAGAGAAATGTCTCTTCTCTTATAGACTCTATACAATTTTTGTGAATATCTTAGAATTTTCCAGTTAAATATTTATGAAGTACTTTTTCCAAGTGTTGGTAAGTTCTTAAAGGATAGGTGGATGGATGGATGATGGATGGATGGATGGATGGATGGATGGATGGATGGATGGATGGATGGAGAATAGGTGGATGGATGGATGGATGTTATTCCGGATTAGCCCTTCCTTCCGTCCCTTTGCATTGTCCCCGTGTCTCCAGGCAAGATCAACTTGTGCAGAGAGAAGCAGCTTTGACTAGTGGAGGACATATTTCCTGCTTCAGTGCTCTGCAGAGGGTGTGTGGGAGTCTGTGAGAAAACAATCAGCTCTGTGTGTTTGCCTCAACAAAGGAACATGTCACTCATAGGGCAAAGTTTGTCCTTCTGGATTTTAGAGTTTTGATAGGAGCTGAGGTTTGTTGCACAGATTCATTTGATTTTGCCATAAAGTTTTTTTTTCTTTTTTTTTTTCTTATGATGATATTTAAATGATTCACATTGAACTGTCTGGTTTTCTTTGCACACCAGGATGTTTGTTACCTATATTTAATCAAACAAATTCAGAGATTGTTTGGGAAATCAGGAGCTGTCTGTTGAAGCAACTCCACTAGGGTTTGTAATCTTTTTTGTAGTTCCATCTCTTATATTATATCACGGTGGTGGTTCTTAAGTTCAGTGTCCTTGCTTCCTATTTAGTTTTTTATTTCGATGCACACTTGGACTCTGCATCCTCCACATTCACTGGCAGCCCTGGAAATATGTGTGAAAAGCTTCAAAACAAATGCATCCTCTGTTGCAGCAGCAAAATCCCATATTAAAAAATTTACATAATCACTGATGCCAAAATTATTATTTAATTTGATTCTATGATAACAATGGATTTTTTAAGCAGTACAGCTATCAAGTATACATAAACCAAATTAAAACTGATCCAGCTGCATTTGGTATTTATTAAAGTGTAAATCCCAGAGGCGTTGTCCTCAGGAGCTGTTTGCAGAGGCTGTTTAATGGATTCATAGTAGTGCTGTGAAAAGAATTGTTTTCTTTACAAATTTCTTATATTTTCTGGGCATTTTCTTTTGCACTTAAATCTTTGAGGCCATAGAACTAAATTAATTATGGAATTAGGATACAAGCAATTTTTAAAAGATTTTACTTTATCAAGCAGGCAAAGGAACATTTTTGATAAAAAAAAACGTTGTTAACTTTAATTAAAAATAAATATTTCAAAATCTGAGCTCAACCACACAAAATGACCTGATTTATATCTAACCTTCGGAAAAAATACATGATTTACATAGAACCACTCTGATGGCTGGACGATCTTCAGAAATCAAACAATAATCTTAAAAACAAAAAATAGTTGAAAAAAAGTAATGGACATCTTGCGAGGCAACCCAAAATCCACAACTGGTGAAAACATGAAGTGTTGGTGAAGCTTCCCCAGAGAACCTTCATAAGCAAGACCCTTAGCCCCATATTGCTCCCCACAAGCTGCAAGCAGCTTACTGCCTACTTGTTCCTAAGCATTGGCCAAATCGAGAGAAAAAAAATTGTGGGAAGAAGCAGTTGCATCTGAACTGAATACATACATGTCCAGGTAGAAACTCAATGCACACAGAACCGAGGCTGGGATTGAAAAACCTTCTTGTTCAAAGGCAGTAGTCTTACCAACTCTGCCCTTGATAGAAACCAAAATCACCACATCAGAAGAAAAAAAAATGACAACACTAAAAAGCATCCATCTTTTCTTTGTAACCATGCTTATCAAAATACCCTGACACTGAAGACTCTTCTTCCTGATATCTCACATTTTCAGCTGTTGCAGAGTTACTTCACTGTTGTCAGTAAATCTGCTCTCTTCAGCACTTTGAAATAAAGCTATAAGAACAGATGATGGTCTAAACTGTGTTTTCCCAATGATGCAATACAAACTTTTGAGACCCTTATCTTCCCTCTGCCCGAAGACATTATGAGCAGAAAAGAAGCCTTTCTCTGAGCATCTCAGCTTTCTTTGTCCCTTCTAACGGTTCATTTTTTCTTTTTCTTTATTTATGAAAATCAGTTCTTGTTTCTTTGCAGGGTCTGACTAAAGTGAGGCGGGCTGGTCAGTGTTGTGAGGAATGTGCTCCTGCCAAAGGAAGCTGTCTTTACCAAGATACAATTCGTTACCATGGAGACATGTGGAATGGCACTGGATGCGAGTTCTGCACCTGTAACCGAGGTCAAGTCGTCTGTCTGAGGGCAGAATGTGGTCGTGTTGAATGCCCACAGGTGAGCCAGAAGGAAGGAGGTGTTCAATATCAGTAGCAGTTGTGAGAAACCTCTAAGGTGGACTTTTTTTTGGGAAACTGGAGTTAAGAAATTATTAAAAAAGAGCTTAGTTTCATGAAGCAGGTTTAAGAAACTCCAACTTAAATCCTCTACTCTGAATTGATCCAGCTGAAGGTTAGAAACTCTGAGTTTCACAACAGCTGCTGTGAGTTATTTTAATTAACTCTGAGTAGGTCGACTCGGAGTTGAGAACCTGTGTAATAGGTATGAAAAGCCATTATAAGTGGAGCCCGTATTCGACGAGTCACCTTGACAGCGGGCAACAGGAAGTGCCTATTTCACACCACTGGAACTAGAGATTTGAATGCAGAAATGAAAGAAAATAATTGGTAGAAGTGTTTAAAAGACAGAACAAAGGTGCTACAGATGCAAAGGAGAGGGATATGGTGAAGAAGAAAATTGCTGCTTGAGTTAATACGCAAGTTTATATGAAGTTCGCTATGATAGGCTGTTTTAGATTTGATTAAAAGCAATCTCCTCTTTGTTGTTCCATTTTTAGATCACTAAAATAGATTTTTTTATGGTCAAAATCACATTGCTAGTCATAATTGTAATAATAGATTTTCAAAATTGCATTTTTGCAGCAGAAACTGAATTTTAGAAAGTGAAAAAAAAACTAAATATGTATTTCTGATGTCCTAAATATGTTTCCCTATGAGCAAAATTGAGATCTGAAATGTATTTGTAGCCAGCCAGAATGTTTATTTTAGATATGAAGAATGTCTCACAGGGAAAACTAGTTTACTGCTTGAATGGTATTGGACTGATATATTATATTTAGCTGAAATGTCACAGGGGAGAACCAGGAGTATAAAAACCTTGTTCAAACAGGTAGGACCTATGCATCATCTCACTGGGTTCCTCCCTTGTTAAAGAAGTCAATGCTATAAATGTGGGAACGGAGGTCGTGGATGTTTTTGATGGATTGTGAGGTGAAACGATAGCGCTAATAAAAATACCTGAATATGAAAGGACATCTATGCGCACTCTGAGAGCCCTCCCCCGATACATATTTAGATATCTGTGAATAGTTGCTGCTCATCCTTGAATTGGATCCTCTTTAAATGGGAAATGCAGTGTTTTTATTTTTTACACCTAATGTGTCTACCAGAACGAGTGAATGATTTCCTTTTTATTGTTTGAACAAAACTATGTCGAAACTCTGCTGATTAAATCAGGAAATAAACCAATGTGATTGGCTTTAAGGAGGGCGGAGACAGAGTAAACTCTGAGTTCATTGAACAAAACCTGATCCTTACCAGGTTAGCTCTGTGGAGAATGTTACTACGGTAACCAAAACAGAGGTTGAGGAAACTCCCTTCGTTAAATGGAAAACTCAGGGTTTCCCTGATTTCAGGTTTACAAAACTTAGAGTTTTCAGTAAACCTTTTTCAGGCCCCAGGACTTTACCTTATTTGGTTTGTGGAAAGCAATATGGTGTTTTCTACTTTTAGGGCTTTTTCAAACAAGGTTAAAAACAAAACATCGTCTATCTAAAGAGCGTCACTACAGATTACCCAATCTTCAGGCTGAGAGGTTTCTTTTACATCAACTACTGTATGAAGCTAAAACACATAGCTGTGACACACTCCTATCAGGCTGAAAAGACTGTGTTGAAGTGGCCAAGTGGGAGGAGGAGTTTTCTTGAAATCCAAAAGTTGTGGGCAAGACACCTAACCCCAAACTGTCTATCGTCGTCCATACAGAAGGTGGATGGAAGGATCCATCCATCGCAGTTAGGGAGGAAGACCAAAACAGTCAGTAAGGATGAGGTGGGAGGGTAGAGAGATGCTGGGTGAAAGGTGAGGGACGGGGAATGAACATTTGGAGAGTGAGAGAATGATTTGAATAGAGGAACTAAATATAAAGGCTGTGCATTTAGAGTTGCAGATTATGGCCTTATAAGAGTTCACAAACTGAATTCACCAAATAGACATGGTCTGATCTTTTTATGCAGTAAGTGTTTAAATGAGGGGTGATGCCTCACTCAGTGCTTTGCTGATTTTTAAAAAATGTTTCTCATTAAAATACACAACTTTTAGACTCTGATGGCCTGTTGAAGATAGTTTCTTTTAGATCTGAAATTTATTTTTCCCTTCTCCCGTCCCTTGTTTAAAAGGGTATTAAATGCCTAGTCAAAAAAAGACAAAAAAATCCATTTGATTAGGATATAAGGTTATATACGGTTATGTAGGCCAAGTGCCTGTGTTCTGTTTGAGCCTAAATAGAATTTCAGCACCAGGTTCGACAAGCAAACATAGAATAACTTATCTAACTTGCTAAACTCAATTGCTTTGGCTTGTTTACCAAATTTGCATAAGTGCGATGTTGTACCTCAAGTGAAATGGTGATGTTATAGTATATATACACACATAACAACTTTATTTACTAACAAAGTGAGCAAAAGCAATGTATGAAACACAAAAATGACAACTATATGCCACTAAAATGCAGTAATTTTTCAGAAAAACACAGTTAAAAGTCCTACAAATTTTGATCTACTGTGAGGGTAATAAGTTTACTGTATAAGTAATATTGGTGTTGGTGAGTAATGTAATTTAGAGATTTTTAATCACTGCTTCACAGTTTTGGTGCTTACACCTCTTGGCTCAATAAATCTAAAACGAATGTAGTGCTGATATTTTATGAGAGTTTAGCAGATTAATGTGTTTGTCAAACAATGCAAAAATAATTGGTCTCTACAGTAATATTGGACAACTTTGTTCTTCAATTTGATTTGAGAAATTCTGAAAAGGTAGTTGAGGTTTTTTGACCTAATAGCTGTAAAATAATCTTGTTGGCTTGGTGGTCCTTGTGCATGTGTTGATCTTAACTTGAGGGTGTTCAGCTGAGTCTTTAACCCCAATGTGATTAAACGCCATATTCAGTTTAAATCTGCTGAATCAGGATTAACCATGAAAGCTAATGGAAAGTCCTTCTCACTATAATGTGACCCAAAAATCCCATTTCCTGACTCTAAAAGGTTCCTACAGAGTTAATGGAAGCTGTCTTAGTTATTTTCTTCACGTGTTCCTACATTTTCAAGATTCTGCCTGTAGATATCGCCAGACTGGCTGGAACTGGAGTAGGAATATTCATTAAAGGTTATAGGGTTGTCACAGATAATCACTTAGTCAAGACGCAGTAAATTGAAAGACAAGATGGAACTAATGAGAAGAAGTGAAGCCTTAAAATGTGCAGCTTGGTCCAAAAAAAGGAATTAACGTGACAGCTACAAGGCTAACCTTCTGTGCTTCCCATATAATGATCTTATTATGTGGAATCAGCTTCAAATTAAAACAGAGACCTCATCTGTTAATTAAGACTCTTAAGATAGCTAGGAATGCTGGAGAGGTTTAGGCAAATTCAAAAACTCTTTAAGGTCAGTAACTGGTGTTTCTGTTATTTATTCTGAATTTCTGCTTCAAGGTGGGCAGGAATGGAGGAGGTTTAATCATATTGCTTTAATGTTCCTCCCTGGGGACCCTATAAAACCCCATTAATCATGCTATATCGCCATAATTTAAGCTGTTAAGTGTCATTAACTGTAAGTAGCATAACTGGCATGTGTCCAGCCCTGAAATGAACAAGGTCACTTTGCTAAGAAGATCATAGCTATTTAGCTTTCACCTTGTGTGTGTGTGTGTGCACCATTGTTAGTAACAGTTCAGAGAAGGTTATGGGTTTATTGACATCTTTGAGTCAGTAGGCCGAAAAAAGGGCTAACATTTATCGTTAGGTTTATGATCCTTCAACTTTTGACGTTACGTTCCACAGACTGAGCACATTGTTTGAGTCTTTGACATGCGAGCAACCTTGAAAGGTGAGAGAAAAGACAAAGAACAACGCAAAATTTTTAAAGTAATGTGAACAAGTTTTTGTTTGCCTATTCTATATCTACAGCAATTATTAGTCAAAAATATAAGTTAATGACAATATGTGCTTTAAATGTAAGAAAAACTGTAAAAATAAATTTCAAATCCTCATATTTACAATTCAGAACAGTGAAGATTTAAATAATTTTTACAGTTTCACCACAGAGTGTAACCTTAGCAAACTAAACAAAACATTCTGATACTGATATTTATTGATATTTACAGAAGATTGACATAAATGAGATCATTAATAGTGCCAGGTTGGACAAACTATCCAAATGTTCATGAATTTGAATCCTAACAACTTTTGGGCAGGATACTCATCAGCTGTGGCATAGCATGTGTAAAATGTTCCTAGAAGTTTATTATTTTAATTATTACTTTTTTAAAATTACTGCATTCTTAATCATTGATTAAGGACAGTCTATAACTAATAAAACAATTTTTTGTTTGTGTGTCATTGCTTTTATTTTCATTGTTTGAAAGATTTTCTCCCAGCAATTGAAATCTATTCTATTTAGTGTTTAGTAGTAAACCAGCTTAGCAGCACAGTATTTTTAGCTACCAGTAAATGAGCAAAAAAAAACTTTCTTATTAGCTATAATAAATCTATGCATGTATCATTATTGGAAAATCTGCAGAGATCATGACATAATCTGGTTACCTAGGCGATCACTGAACAGTAAACTAGGATGCTCGCTGTTTTAACTAATCTCTGTTTATCAGGGCTTACAGTTTCTTATTTGTTTCTATCACAAAAAGAATAGTTTTCCCCCCCCACATTTTCAGAGGAGAGCTACTTGTCTTGTGTCGATATATATTAACTAGCATGTTAATAATCAACATTTTAGTTATGTTATAGGTGTAAACATTCTGCATTTTGTTATATACACTCATTCTGAAAAAAAGTGGAAAATACTTGCTTCATAAATGTTTTGTGGGGATCAAAATGTTTCAGTGTTATTCTATGAGTCAAATAGTAAAGCAAAGCATAAAAGCATTTGGCACAATTTGGCACATTTGGAGAGGTTTTGGAGACACTGGTGAAACCAAAAGTTCAAAACTCCACAGCTCTGGAACTATTGGAGCTAGAGGTCTGAGATTTTCTGCATTTGTGGTTGACATGATGTAGAACAAATGTAATAAAATGAGACCTGCCTTTTCTCAAGCATGTCTTTATTACTGCTGTTAAAAAAAGACCTATCATTTTTGAGAATAAAAAAAACAACTTTGAGTCATGTTTAAGCTGATGCAGCTTGTTCTACTCACCTAATTTATCCATTCAGAAACTAGATGGTGTTAGCTTTCAAATAATGTGTTGCACATGTAATTTGGGCTTACACTTCCTAAGTTATTTGCTTTTCCATTTAGGTTTGCAAAATAGGAGAGAATTTCCCAAAATGAGGTGGATGCTGATTTTACAATAAATGAATGTACTGGAATAATCAGGACTGAGTACATTTTGAAATGTCCCTTCCTTTTAATTCTGTTTTTAGGATTCAGAGCTTGTTCATCTGCCAGGAAAGTGCTGTCCTGAATGTTCGTCAGTGAAACCCTCCTGCCTCTATGAGGGGAAATCTTTCAAGGTACCACTTTCTGCTTTGTGGCTCATTCAAGTATAAAAGTTTTTTTGAAATGTTTGTAGTTAACATCAGAGCGGCTAAAGGAAGAAAAATACATACGGTTTAAGTTTAAAGTATTTTTATACTTTCAGGAGAAAAAGAAAACATCTGAAGTGCTATATTTAAAGTTAGCACATAGCCAAATAATTATAATAATTCTGTCACTGCCAAGAAAAACGACCAAGTTTTATGGTTTGTTTTTGTAACATTCTGAGCATTTTGCCGTTGATCCTGAAGGATTTCCTGGATTTCATTTATGACATGAAAAAACTGATTTTAGAGCTGAGGTTATATGACAGTGTCATTAAGGATCAAATTATACAAACCCAAGACATCTATGAAAGGCAGGAGGATGCAACTGAACCCATAAATGGGAGCTATAACCATTAAAATTGTATTGCTGTTTGTTCCCCTAAAGGAATTATTTCACCAGTAGTATGAAAAACTAAAAGATGGATGCTTTTGTAGCAAAATAATTAGTGGTTTGAATACATAAAAGATCTTTGGATTACAGTCTGGAAAGATGCTTTAGAATAATAACCCACAATATCCAAGTGTCATGGTTGGTTTAGGGATTAAACCCACATGCAGAACACCACTGGAGACTGATAAAAAGTTCAACAGAGTTTATTGAAAGATTTCACAATATTAACAAGGACTGGATTCAGGAAACTGGTCTGGGCAGGATTCTCTGGCGTCTGCAGAGACGGATAGTTTGATTAGCCAGTTAAACAGGTGAATAGTTGAGTTTCAGATGTTTCTGGAAATACCTTGAAGAGGTTCAGGCGTTCTCCTTTGAGAGAGGGAACCGGTTGGGTCCAGAGACTGTTGGTTCAGCAGAGTGCTCAGTAGCAGCAGCGTCTAGCTTCTGACTTTCCAGTGACAGACCTTGGTTTAACTGATCAGCTCTTTCCCTGAGAGCAGCAGATGGATTCCAGAGTGAGATCTTCAGGTTTGGCTCTCTAGGGCAGGCAGGCAGGTAACAGGCTAAGCTCATCCAGAGCTTCAGACAATAGACAGGTTTCCTGAGAGTGAGAAGACAGAGGCAGATTAGAATAGGGTTTCTCTTGGGAGACAAAGATTCTAGTAATCACAGAGGCTCAGGTTTGCTAACCAAACTTGGTAAACACTGCGGCGTTGAAGGAAGGTCTGGCAGCTGCTTAAGTAGAGCAGGTCTACTGATGGGCTGAGGAGATCCAGGTGTGCAGGAGGGCTCCAGCCCAGGAGACCCACGGCGCACTCTGCTGGAGAAAGGTGGTACTTCTCCAGATCCCAACACCAAGCTTTATCTTGGAATTAATTTAAAGGTAAAATAAAAGGCAAGATTCTAAGATAATGAAATAATTTCTCTGTTTTTCTTCATAACTTGTTTTTTGTTTTTCCTGGAGTGGCTGGAAATGTCTTTGATGAGTACCTAGCATTTAAAGGATGATTATTGGAGATCTAGTTTAAAGTTTATTTCCTAAACCTAAAATGTTGTGTCCAATTCCTGTCTTTAAAGGCCCATGTCCTGCACAATTTAGATGCATCTCTGCTCCAACACACCTGGTCATTGAAATTAAATGAAAATAGTCAGAATTTAAATTTTTTTGTATTTGTCTTTATTAATAAAAAAAAGAAAGAGATTCCTAAAATTGCTACTAAGGGTTTGAATTTTTTTTTTTATTTTTTTTTCTATTTACTATTAATGTCCATACACAGTATATCAGGTATTTAAAGAAAAAAAAAGAAAAAAAGTACTCAAATTGATGATGTAAATTCTGAGAGACTTAACGTTACAGGGTTAAATCACATCATTAATGATTTATCAAATCAGTTCCAGGAGAGGCTCTCCTTTTTATTAAAGCTAATCAAAGATTACTTTCAAAAACATTGTGCAACATTTCTCAATAAAAGATAAAATCAAGATAGAAATATAAAACAAAGAAATATGAAGTCAAAGCCATTGCACAAGATATTGGGTATGTGCTCACGTTCCCAGTTGATTATATTGCATGTAATGGAGAAATCTTATGGAGGTGTGGTAGATCAGAGTTGCAGAAGTGGCAGTGATATTAATATTGCACATTAATCAGCGGTGACTTTAGATATTAGCGCTGATGAGGGTAACATCTCTCAAAAAGAAACTGTTTCTCTGTCTGCTTGTCTTGGAACGCAGCTCAAACTGAGTGTGATCTGTCCATTTTGATTTTGAGTGCTCTGCTGGGGTACTGGGTGGTGTAAATGTATGTGAGGGGAGGGGGGGCAGCCAGTAATTCCTTGTGTTGCGTTGACTGTCCTCTGAAGCCTTGCTCTGTCTGCCTTAGTGTGGTTCCTGAACCAGCAGCTTCTTGTCCAAGTTCCTGAGCTCGAGTCCATGTTTACTGTTTGTAAGCACCAGCTCCTTTGTGAGATATTTTCTAAAGATTACTCATTTTCCCTTGAGATCAGTCCCACCACAGTAATCAGCTAATTTGATGATGATTTGTTTGTGGGATGGACTGCATAGGTGTCGAGGCAGTACAGGAGGGGGCTGGAGGAAGTGTGATGATGCTGAGAAGGCAGTGGACAGCTTCATAATCTAGGGTCTGCTATTTATAGTCCTGAATCCAGATGGAGGGGATGTAGGGGCATCCAGGGTTTCTCACTTGGTGATGAGCTTGTGTGGGTTGATTGTGTCGAAGGCCAGCCTGTAATCCAGATAGAGCAATCCTGGCATAACTCTGCTGTTTCTCCTGGGGGTTCAGCACAGCATGAAGAGCTACTATATGACAATGCAGTCCTCTGTGAAACTGTTCACCCAATATCCTAACAGGTAGAAGTTGAGTATTGGGGGTAAGGTTGCCAACTCCCTAAAAACAAAAAGGGACACCTCATGTGCGTGCCAGCTGACCCGATTGCCTTTACCCCTCCTGGAGTGGTGATTTTTTTTTTTTAAGCTCCCCTTTGTGTGTGAAATGCTTTTTTTAAATTGTTTGACTCAAATCTGCATTGAATTAGATGAATATTTGTGCTTTATATTCATTATCATGGACTTTTTCCTCCCAGGTATTTGTTTTTTCCTATTCCTCCCTATATTTCTACATCCCTTTTTCTGTTGTTTTTTTTTTCGGAGGAGGTGCATCACTATGCAGGGTGCACCGCCCTTAAAAGTAGCATCAGAATTTTAATTACTCCGTTCGTCCCCCATTCTGCTCTGTTGTCTTCCACTATCTTCTCCTTGAGCAACACTTGGCTCGACCAATGGGATGAGGGGATTCTTGATCGTTACATATACTTTGTCAGCTCATTGGTCACAATGCAGGACAGGGTCAGGGGAACAAGTTTACAGTAAGTCTTGTATCTAACGTGCCCTTGTTCTTCATTTTCCATTAGCTTTTTACTGACTATTTTTTTACTGTCACAGAAATACAGGACAAAGTGCATTCCTTTTCGAGTAAATACAGGACAGGTACTTATATTTCTAAATATGGAACAATTTTTCAAGGCCAGTTGGCAACCCTAATCGGGGGAAACAGTCCCTGATGTATTGGAGAAAGAGTCTCTCGTAGCACTTCATGGTAATAGGTATGAGGTCAACTGGGCGGTAATCCTTCAGGCTGGTTATGGTAGAGGTTTGAAACTGGGGTGTTTCTAGCAGACTTCAGGCTGTGTGTTGGGGGGTGGGGGTGGTTGGGGGCCTTGGGGGGGCGAAGTAAACCACGACTTTTGCCTTACTGACATTTCTTATGAATCATCTAAAACATTTTGTTTTACTGTTTTTGGGAGATGCATAGACATACTTCAAATGAAATCTCTGACTCTGATCAGTCTAGTCACGTTTTTGGTTGTGAATTATGCATCCCTGCTGGGCTACTGTAAGAAATAAAGAATATTATATGAGGTTAATTCATTTTCTTACTCATCCAGGGTCATACTTTCTACGCTGCTAAGAAAGCAGATGAGTAATGCATGAGAACAGTGCATAAATGCTAGCAGCTGATAGAGAAACATTTTCTTGTTTCTTTGACTTAAAGCACATGGTGTATTGCTTTTTTATTATAAGTTGATATGGTTTAAAAAGTTTTTATTTTATCCTTATTTTGACACTCCTGCTGCTGGTGGTGGGACTTTGTCCTTGGTGAACTCATTAGTTCCCTTATTCGATGTCCCGCTTCTTTCAAATAACACTCATTAAAATGCAGCATTGGCCTCCTTTTAAATACGAGTGAGATTTATCAGAATTAAAAATTAAAATCAGCCTGGTCTGAGCTTTCTGTCACTTGTTGAGGTCTAATTAACGATGTCGTCTGTCTTTTTTTTTGCAGAATGGAGCCCGTTGGACTGATGGCAGCTGCCGTGAGTGTGAATGCCACGATGCCCAGGTGACTTGTTATCTTCGTTCCTGCCCCGGTTGCCCATCAGGAACCCTGGCTGTTATAAACGAAGGCCAATGCTGCCCCGAGTGTCAACAGGGTACGTCATTATTCTGCAAAAATACTAGATACAGCGTGTGTTTGGAAAACTCTGTTGGGTCTGAAGACTAAGAAAGTTGATCCTTTTTTATTTTATACTAGTTTCCATTTTCCATGTATTCTTTAAAAACACATTGAAAGCCAACCTTGGAAAAACCTCTCGAAGAATTAATACTAAATTAAATGTGAAAACAGGTTTTATGCATTTATAACCGAGCCTTTAGCCCTAAATTAGATTTGCTACACAAAATAATTGATATGTAATAAAAGAAAGTGCTCATATTAATATTAGTATGTTTTGATTTATTTTCTGTCCCAAGAAGTGCAGCAGTTAAATTCAGTGACTTAGTTTTGTTCTTTACCATGCCGTGCCTCAAACTCTCTCACTCCCCAGCATCAACTATTGTGTTCAGAATGCATGTATGTCGTATCGTCTCTGTCTAAAGCAGTATTGGTTATTTGACAGATTATGTTTGATCACAGAAAAACTTAACAGACTAAAGTTAAAGGTGGTTACAGAAGTGCTGAACAGGTAAGACTGTGGCTGCTGGAGATGAGCAGAGGATGACTTTATTTAAAATCATAAATCTACATATGTTGGACGTTTGGGTCTTAAAGTAAGGGTATAGTGGAGTATCTTTTGGTTTTGAGTTCCTGAAGGATCATCTTATTTGTTGGTTGTCTTACATACATCTTTTGGACATTCTTGCTTTTGCTGAACGCTTTGAGTGTTTATGTATCCAGTTAGCTTTAGTTTTAGCCATTCATTGTTGCTCCATTATTCTTACTATAAATTTTTTGGGCGGACAAAGTCACAAGAACTCACATTTTTGAAAAAAAAAAAAGAAATATGTCCTATTCTTTTAATAAAGAGGCACTCAAATCTACATATAAAGGATACAGAACCTTTGGGCAACAGTTAAAACAGAATTATTATAGTTCAGTTTCTTCCAAATATATAGGCTCTGATTAGCAGGTCTATTGCTGGACCACCAGATGTGCAATATCAAATATTCATATGAGAGTTTGATTGTGAAATCTCAAGATCGCAATCGACAAAAAAAGAAACTGCACTTGTTACTCAAACACATATAAAGAGGATTGCTATTTGTTACGGTGATCAGAAATTGCATCATGGTTTCCACTAAATGCGAGCATTTTAGCTTGTATTTTTGCATTTTACTTTTACTCCTTCCCCACTTCCTGTTGGACTCACAGCATTCCTGCTCAATTATTGCATAAGTCTGACAAAAAAAAAAAAACCTGTCGCAGGGATGATCTCAGAGAAATGCGAGTGGTCTTTCCCTTCCATGTTCTCGTTACACTAGCATGCTGTAATTGCGACGGAAATCTTACAACTCATTTTTTGTCGAAGTGCAAAACAGAATAAACACCAGATAAAAAACATGTACAATAGATATATACTTATTAAAAGCTATTTTACTATTTCTATAATCAGAATAATAAAATGCAGCTGCCTTTTCTTTAACGCCGACCTGACATGTTGTCTCTTTGAGACGACAGATGCTCACTTGGGAAAAACCAACTTCTTTATTCTTTACATCATTGCTCATTAATGAATCCCATATGTCTGCAGACTCTCAGTTGTCTACATTGGCAGGAATACTTTAATTGATCATAAACTGGAGATATTCAAACACAAATTGTTCACATCAAAATAAACTTTTGTTTTTAACTGATTGAGGGCATTCTAGCTATATTATGGACTTTGTCTTCACCTGTTTGACAAATAAACCATTGTCATTACCAACCCCACACCATCAGATTCTAACAATTACATTTTAAATAATTTATGGCAGCATTAATTATTAAAACTTTACTTTCTTTCTTTTTCTTCTCCAAAAACTTTAGGTTCAGTTCTAATATATATAGTCCCTCGACGTTGTGTCTGTTAGGCAAAGTTTCGAAATTTAACTGACAGCCAGCATTACCAGAAATAGTTTGTAAATACAATTTGTCCCTCGCTAAAACTCTGTAAATATGTAAATACGAAGTTTGAAGAGGCTGATGAACAGAGAGCGAGTTTATAGTTATGCATAACAGACTGAGAGTGTCTTTGGGGGTAAAGCCTTGCCAGATGAGCGGCAAGCTGCTGTCGCCTGAAGAAAGAAATATTCTCATTTTGCCTAAGAAAGGCCTCCTAATTATTATCGCTTCAGTTTTGATAATAGTCATTCTATAACTTTAACAAAATAAGGAAGAAATAATCTATCAGTATTCTACTCATTCAGGTCCAGACCAGGCCATTTTTACATTGTCCAGCTCTGGGGCCCCCTTCAAGTTCTTCAGCAATTAAATCTAAGGTGGCTGTTGGATGGGAGTAAACAGCCCAGCCTAAACCCTGCTAGTGCACTAATGAGCCTTGGTCATAAGGCCTAAATCCATCTTTAATTAGAGGCATACATTTAATCAACAGGCCCTGTGGTACTATTGTTCAGCACCTGCTGGTGCCAACTGTATGGCAGCTCGGCCTCAGGGCAGCTGTGGCTGCAGTGTTTCGTACCACAGTCAGTGTGCAAATATGTGTATGAATGGGTGAATGACTGACGGTAGTGGGAAGTGCTTTGGTATAAGTGCTCTGCAAGTACAGGCCATTTAAGGGTTTTAAACCATTTCTTATTTAATAAAAAATACATGAATTAACCTGCATTAATTACTTAAACAAATGAAGAGCTACTATTATATACTGACAGATATTTTACACTAAGTTACACCGTTTAAGTAACTTTAATGAGCCCAGATTTGATGAAGATTTATTAATAAGTCGGACAGTTTAGGCAGCTGTCTGTGCAGCAGGACTAGTCACACTTCTTTTCCTCTGTTCTTCATACCATATTTATGCTCACTGATGGGTCAGAGCCTACAATGTCCCAATAGAAAGGTATGGGAAATTTAAAGAAGACCAAGTATTACATTCTTTTAGTAAAAATGTGCAGGTTTTCATCCGAACGCACCAAATGGATTTCTTTTTCTAGTATCTCAAAAAATGTGTAGCAGTCAGCAGTTCTTATACATAAAACGATGGAGCCCAGTCAGTTTACCTACTGCAGTTACAGGCGGCCAACGTTTTTACAGTCAATGCTGGAAGTTCACACCGGAAGTTTCTCCTGCTTCCTTGTATAATGCTCTATGCAGACAACAACAGAAACCTTGGGTATAGGAGGCAAGTTCCCTGATCGAATTTACCAAACTACATTTAAGCCCCTTTTCCATTGCAACTCAAAAGCCTGGGACTTTTGAACGTCTAAACACATTTACCAAGATTTATTCACTCTCTGGGCTTTACTTTCCTGGGGCTTTTGTTCTTTCAGGTTTTTCAGGGGTGGTTTGTGTAAAGCTGCAATGCTTTCTTTCCCCAAAAATGTTTATTCTTGTCACATAAATATGTTTAAATATGGGTCTGATGGGCAGGCTGGTGTGGGCTGTGGGAGCTTCGGCTAGCCACGGTTCTTAAGTCTGTAAAGTTTCTAAGTTTCATATAGTAGGTTCTCAGGAGATGTTTAAAAGTACTGTATATTTTTGTATCATATTAGGGAAAACATTCAAAAAATTAACTTGTTCCATCCTTTGAGATCTCAGATGTAAATCTCATTCCTTCATTCAAGTCTCTAGCAAATAAAGCTTCCTATTCAATATATACCGTATAAAGTTAAGATGGATTCAGACAGAATTTGTCTTTGTATAACAAAAGGTATTCACATTTAATTTTAAATATTGTAAATGTGTCTTTCTCTTAGATTTATATTGTCATACCGAGAACAAAAAACACCTCCATGAGGCCATTCATATGTGTTTGAGTGAGATTTTTCATTGTGTTCATGGCTGAGAATAGAAACAGAGCATATGCGCTCAACGTCTCCCTCTTTTTTAGCCTCTTTTCCTGCTTGAATCATAAATCTTCAACTAGGTCTATTAATCAAGGGCTGTCTTTAGGACCAGAGGTCAGTATTCTGCTCCTCTATTGGTCAGCTCTCAAACGGGGGGCCATGGCCACGAGTTATGCTGCCCTCACATCTCAGGGGAGCAGATGTAAAAATGAGAGCTCTGCTGGCAGTTTTCCTCGTGTTCCTTTTTTTTGTGGCACACCATATATTTATTGCCTTAAATAATTTTTTGCAGGAAACTACATTGGATTTATAAACTTTTTTTTTTGGGGGGGGGCACCCTGCAGCTGTATTTATAATCCCGATTTCACCCTCATTTTTACACCAACACATAGAGACTTGTGAGACTTGTTTTTAGAATCTAGAAAAATCCTGGTGGTGGTGGAGAGGAATTGCACTGACACCCCTTAATTGTAATGTCTATAAATGAAAATAAGTGAGACTGATTGCTTTCAGAAATGAGCCCTCGTGTGTGTTTTAATCTCAATATATCAATAAATCATTCAAAATTTAAGTATGGCATAATTACAAACCTACAAAGGCCTGGTTGTTTGCTTAAACTGACAGGAGAAAATTAATTAAAGAAGCAGCTAAATAGCTCATCTGAGGAATACGTCAAAGTAAATTCTTAGGTAAAGCAGGATGGAGGATTACCTTCACCTTCGAACTGCTCAACATCCCTAAAGATACAGTCAACGAATCAGCTAAAGGCTTTAGAACAGGGCCAAGGACCCCCAAACTAATGGTGAGATGGAGTGGGGACCCCCTAATTATACACTCACCGGCCACTTTATTAGGTACCCCATGCTAGTAACGGGTTGGACCCCCTTTTGCCTTCAGAACTGCCTCAATTCTTCGTGGCATAGATTCAACAAGGTGCTGGAAGCATTCCTCAGGGAGTTTGGTCCATATTGACATGATGGCATCACACAGTTGCCGCAGATTTGTCGGCTGCACATCCATGTTGCGAATCTCCCGTTCCACCACATCCCAAAGATGCTCTATTGGATTGAGATCTGGTGACTGTGGAGGCCATTTGAGTACAGTGAACTCATTGTCATGTTCAAGAAACCAGTCTGAGATGATTCCAGCTTTA